ACACTCATGGAGATGCACATCTGTTTAATACAACAAACTCTACACAGTTGCTTCTTCCAGCCCCTAGGGCTTAAGCCCTGACTGAGGCCCTCTGACCCCTCCTGCTATGCCCAAGCTCCTCCCTCCCCACATTTCAGCTCCAGCCCTCCTCCTCACCCTCAGTACTCCTCCCAGGCCTTTCCGATAACAGCTTCCTAACCAACTGGTCTCCCAGTCTCCAGCCACTCTCCTCAGCCCATTATATATGAATTCTTCGTATTCGTGTATATAAAATCTTGCTTTCCCCACAGTCCCTGGCTCAAGAATCAAAACAGTACCCCAACCCCAATTTCTGTCAATTCCAAACTATTAAGCATGGTGGACAGGACCCTTTAGTTGGGGCACTCTCTCCTTACTAAACCCTGCTTCCCAAATTTCCCCAGATGAGTTCTGTGCCTCACACTTGCTGGTCTCCTCACAGGTCTCTCATCTTCCTACACCCTCTGCCTGGAATCCTCCACCTTCCCCTCCCATTTTGTTGTTGTTATTAATACAGAGTCTCGCTCTGTGACCCAGGCTGCAGTGCAGTGGTGCAATCTCAGCTCACTGCAACCTCTGCCTCCTGGGTTCAAGCAATTCTCCTGCCTCAGCCTCCCAATTAGCTGGGATTACAGGAGTGCACCATCATGTCTGGCTAATTTTTCTATTTTTAGTAGAGACGGTATCTCACCATGTTGGCCAGGCTGGTCTCGAATTCTTGACCTCAGGTGATCTGCCCATCTCGGCCTCCCAGAGTGCTGGGATTATAGGCATAAGCCACTACAACCGGCTCCCCTGCCATTTTGAATGCAACTCTCTTTTTAGTACAAGCTCAGGCTCATGTCCACCTTTGTAGGGCAGGTGATGCCCTCTGCCAGGTGACCCTATTCGTTTTCAGTGTTTCTGTTGTCAGCCCACTCCGCATTGGAGTCCATGCTGTCTGGCTTGGATGGCAAGTTCCTTGCTGCATCCGTGCCTTGCCTTCTCTTGGGAAAATTCCACACTCTTCAAGGACTGAAGCCAGGTGTTGTGTTTCTTTTGTGTCTCCACATAGTGCTGTCACAATGCTGGGACCACAGGTTTGCACATTTATACACATTTACACATTTTACAATTCACATGAGACTCACAAGAGATGCACACATATATGTCAAATGCATTAGGTACACCAGGGGGCGGTGTAGAGCAAAGCCAGCTGGGAAGCATCTGTGTTTGGCACTGACACATGAACCCCATGCTATTTCGATGCTCTGGGAGTTCACAATGAAAAAAACTGAGAATTTGCCCTGGTAAAGTTTTGATGTGAGGTTGGTAAGAAAGCCAGATTCTTCTTCTTCTTCTTTTTGAGATAGGGTTTCGCTCTGTCACGCAGGCTGGAGTGCCCTGGCAACGATCTCGACTCATTGCAACCTCCACCTCCTGGGTTCAAGCAATTCTCCAATCTCAACCTCCCGAGTAGCTGGGACTATAGGGGTGCACCACCACACCCGGCTAATTTTTGTATTTTTAGAGATGGGGTTTCTCCATGTTGGCCAGGCTGGTCTCAAACTCTTGACCTCAGGTGATCCACCTGCCTCGGTCTCCCAAAGTGTTGGGATTACAGGCCTGAGCCACTGCACCTGGATAGTTTTTGTATTTTTAGTAGAGATGGGGTTTCACCATGTTGGCCAGGCTGGTCTCAAACTCCTGGCCTCAAGTGATCCACCCACCTCGGCCTCCCAAAGTGCTGAGATTAGAGGTTGAGCCAAGGCGCCCGGCCAGAAAGCCAGATTCTTAAGACAAGGTGTTCCCCAGTATAACTCACATGCAATGTGCTAGAATGAGGAATGGCCTAGGCCTTCCTAACTGAGGATGCTACCTGCTGGGCATTCTGGGCCTAAGGTTTCCAACTTGGTAGCCTTCTTTCCCCCGCCTTCTTCTCCCTCTGAAGCAGGTAAAGTGACAGTTGGCGTAGGCGGCTAAATGTCAGTGGTACACTGTTGGTATTTTCAGATTCCGTTTGCTTCTCACAAAAAACCATTTACTTTAAAGAAATCAAACAGACAGCCATGTGGTGGCAACATTAACATTTATTTGAAAAGGGCATCATGACGGCTCACTGGGAGATCGCGACTGATAGGCCTAGAGAATGATTTTGCTAAGAGTCCTTCTTCTTACACTTCCCCAACACCCCCTTTCCTACTTCCCTAAAATAGAACTAATCAATCCAATGGGTTTAAAATACAGAAAACCGCCATGGGCACTAATTCTGCACTCACATATAAATACACCATCTATTATGTACACATATTGTCAACTACAAACTACACTACACACAAATGCACACACACACACACACACACACACACACACTCAGCCAGGTCGTGAGGCTCTAAGTGGACACAGACACATTACGAGGAATGGGCTGCAGCATTTGTGGATTCACAGCTCTGCCTCCACATGCCAGAAATCAGCAGTCACGGGGGGAGAGCTTGGAAGGGGAAGGTGATGGCTTGGGCGGCCCCATGGTCCCCTGAAGAGAAGAGACCTGGCCAGCCAGGCTGGGGCTAAAGGGAGCACAGAAAACTGCCTTTGGCCCCAGCAGGGCCACAAAGCCCTTCCCACTGCCCTCCTGTCCCCACCATACCCCATCTCCCAGATAGCCAGGCTCTAGGACAGGCCCACCATGACCATCCTTCTGCAGTCTTCAGACCTAGGCCAGATGTGGGGTAAGGGGCCACTCAAACCAGAAGATTTCTAGGGTTAATGGGATGAGGAGGCAACACATTGCCCCAAACCTTTCCCCAGGTGTGAGGGAGATGCCTGGTTTCAGCATGACCTGCCTGCCAGGGTCTGGGGTCACAGGAAGTGGGCCTGCCCTGCCCCGATGAAGCCCTCTCCCTGTCTACCTTTCAACCTAGTATCTACCTAACAGCCCAGTCTAGCCCTTTCCTGCTGGACCCCAACCGGCTAGCTGCCATTTTCTGGTCATGAAGAGGAACTGGGAAAAATAGTCTCACTTCTCCAGGGCACTCTGTTGCCAGGTCAGGAGGCCTAGGGATAATGGAATGGAAACTGGAAGGCATCATGTCCCAGGGCCCCCAGAGGAGCCCAGAGGCCTGGCCTGAGCTGTTCAGAGAAACTCTCGGCTATTCTGATTCTTGGTCCAGTTGAATTGTGTTCCGTGGGACCTAGAACTGCCAGGGCAAAGGGCAGCACACCTACAACGCCTGTGCTTCTTAAAGTACGTTAGTGGGTCCAGGCCTCCTCTTTTCCTGCTCATCCATTTGTATCTGTGTATGAGAAAGAGGGCTGGACAGAGCAGGGTCTCTGGGAACTTTCATAGTTCTGCTGACCTACTCAGGCTCCTTCTATAGTGAGTATGCTGTTTAGGAGTCAAGAAACCACTGATTTCTACTTTTCAAAGAGAGAGGGAAATGGAAACAGGCACAAGGCGTTGGGGTCTCCACGGCAAGGAAAACAGAGGGAGCCTCCGGGGCCACACTGGTGCTTTCTGCTGATCTGCTTCTTATGCATTCACTTGACTCCACCAAATTAACAGAACTTCCAAATCTCAAATACACTCCTGCCTACTCCGTGCGGCCAGCAGAGTGCTGACCAATGCCAGCCCTTCCCCACAGAGCCGCAGTCCTTGGGGCTTTGCCAGCGGCTGGTCTCAATGGGCTTACCGGCTCCTCTTCGCTCAAAATCACAGCAGAGAAGGGCGGCAAGAAGGGGCATGATGCAGTGCCACCAGCCGCCGGGGGCTTGGAAAGCAGGACATGCTGATGCTGGCCCAAGGGCTGGGGTATCCCTCCTATCTAGACCCCATCGAACTGCTTTGCCTCTCTCCCAGGGCCTGTGCTGGGGTGAGGAGACTACCTACTCTAACATTCACCTTAACCTTTCTGATTCTGGCATATTTGGCCAGAATCCAGGTTCTACTCCCTGTCAGCAGACAACCTAACACTCTACTGAGTCTAAGTTTAAATGAAACCGAGAAGAGGGCACTCAAAAAATGACAAGTTTTTCAAAAGAAGTACATTTTTGCTAAGCAGCGGTGATGGAAGGAGACACTGCCTGGGGCAGATGGAGAGGGAACAGCAGTCTATGCAGAATGGGAGCCTGCAGCTTTTCCTTCTCTCTATTCACGGGACGGGGATGAGGGGCAGAAACATCTGAGTGGAACTGCAGGTCTCTGGGTCTAATGCTGGGTCTGGAAAGACCCTCCAGGGAGGCGACTGCCAAGTCCCAGAACCAGGGCTCACAAGCAGTGCTCAGGATGAAGCTGCCACGAGGGAGCCCTAATGTCAAGTAGGCCCATGAAACAGAGGGTCTCTCATCCAAGCTGGGCACAGGATAAAACCTGGGAGGAGCCAGTGAGGAAAGGCATGTTTGTGGCTCAAGGTTTCAATTTTCTTTAAAGTTTCTTTCAAAGGTTAGTAGTTGCTGTCAATTTTGAGTTAATTTAAACTTTTTATTTTTTTCATATAGAAACACTAAAGAGAATTCTAAGTTCATGCTTGTAAAATTGAGTTGAGCATAGGCCAGGGGCCATAAAGCACAGCCAAAAAGCCCTGGGGGCTCAGGAGCCTCCATGTGCCAAGCTGGGTGCGGTCGCTCATGCCTGTCATTCCAGCACTTTGGGAGGCTGAGGTGGGTGGATCACTTGAGGTCAGGAACTTGAGACCAGCCTGGCCAACATGGTGAAACTCCATTTCCACTAAAAATTTTCTGGGCATGGTGGCACACACTTGTAATCCCAGCTACTCAGGAGGTTGAGGCAGGACAATCACTTGAAACCAGGTGGCAGAGGTTACAGTGAGCCAAGGTCGTGCCATTGCACTCCAGGCTGGGTGACAGAGCGAGACTCCATCTCAAAAACAAACAAAACAAACAAAAAACAAAACAAGAAAAAGAAGCTGCATGCCCACAGCAGAGATCGTGACCATGGGGAAGAGCTTCATCTGAAGTGCCAAAACTATGGGAATGAGAGTCAAATAACCGCTTCCCCAAGAAATTTATTGCACATATTAATGGGAAATCCTTGTGTTAAGGCTCTCCCGGATTCTGGAAAATACATCCACCTAACAATCAGGCTGTCCCTGTACATCCGTGTGTGCCACGCTTTGGTGGCACACCCCGAGAAGCCTGCCCCCAATCTTAGCAGAAACAGTCTGCTTCTGACTCCATGCCACACTGCCTGAAATTGTATCCTAAAAAGGGATTTCCAGCTACTCAGGAGGCTGAGGAGGGAGAATCACTTAAACTCAGTAGTTCGAGGTCAGCCTGGGCAACATAGTGAGACCCTCATCTCTAAAAAAAAAATAAAAATAAAAAATGGATTCCTTTGGATGGAGAAATCTAGTCACACTGCCTCCTCTGGAAAGGAGACTCCAGGGGGAGAACATGTGACATTCACATCTTACTGTAGGTTATGTCGGCTCGGAAGAGTTATGGGAAATGTGACTAAAGGAGAAGGAAAGGGCGAGTTTGGACCACATGGCACTGCCCAGGGAGGAGGCCGAGGTGAGGCTCTGTCAGGGGCACCCCAGAGGCACAAAGGCACCTGGAAGTTGGCCCGGAAGGGGAACTGGCAAAGAGGGCAGCAAACTGTCTCCTGGGCGGCTCTGCCTGGCTCCACATTAGCTCCTCTCTGCACACCCTCGTTACACAGAGACACAGACGGCACGCCAGGAAAACAAGAACCCAGAAGCCAAAGGAGTCTCCACGGCCCCTCCCAAGCCACAAGTGTTGCCAGATGGTCCCGATATCTCAGACTTTGTCCAGAGAGTGATGAAATCATTCCCATATTTGGTTAGATCCTTCCTTCTTCAAATGGAACATCCAAAAAATTGGCTTCTGATATCTCTGAGCCCCCAAATGCTCATCCCACCCTCCCGACTCTCCTACAACCCAGGTCAGGCTGGGAGTCTCTTCCATAGAGGTGATGTGGGCAAATCTTGGGCGCCCTGCAATTCCCCTCTGAAATTAGCTTGTTCTGCCTTTCCTCAACCCAGAGGATCCAGGAACACCTTGGGACCCTCAGAAGACATCAAAGAGAACTCAACTCTGAAAAATGTCCAGCAGACAGGACCATGGGAGGCCACCACAGGCTCCTTCTGAATAAAGGAGGTGAGACGCTGCTGCAGGGACCACACTCTGATGCCACGGCCTCACCTTCTGCCAGCCCTGCTTCCTGTCCTTTGCTGTCCCGCCCCGTGGCGTCTCCACCCCAGCTCCTGTAATAAGGGCTCAGCATTCATTAATAGAAGAAACATAAACAGACAACTGGGGGATGAGCAAGAGAGTGGGAGACACAGCAGGGACGTGGGCTGGGAGTGGGGGAGGCTCCAGAGGAGACAGCCGATCCGCTCTCAGCTTCCTTCCCTAGGGGCCCATCACTTCCTCTCACCAACCAAGTCTCCATCCAGCTCCCTCCTCTGGGGAGGACATGCGCCCCCATGGAAGCCCTTTACTCAAAACACCAAGTGGGAGCTTCCCCGCCCCCACCCCCTGGCTTCTCTCTGGAGACACCCCACGATTCTCTGCCCCTGGCTGCCACAAAAGAGAAGATGAAGGGCAAAGGTGAGACACGTATTGGTGAGATCTCCCTTGGGGAAGACGAGGAGGAGGTAGGAGGGCCAAGAAGGACCAGAGTCTCCACCTTGGCTTAGCCCGGGGGGCACTGCCATCCAAGGTGACGTTTTCTTGGAGATCCCAGCCAGATCTCCATGGGGTTGGGGTGGGCGTGAGGTGAGCCCCTCCCTCAGACCCCATCCCCTTGAGGAGCTCCAGCTCTTGGAATTCAGTATACACACAGATCGGGAAACTTCATTTCGTAGACCGGGATGGAGTGGTTCTGCGGCTGACCGTAGGCTGCAGTGATGGTTCCTGATGGGCTTGGTGGGGGCCTAGGGGCATGAACACGTGGGGAGAAAGGCGTGAAAGGGAAATTTTAGGGTTCCACCCTTGTGCAACTAAACAGTAGGTGACTTAGGTTTCTTTTTGCACAGGGACCAGAAACCCATTCATTCCACAGGTTCCCAGCTTTCCAAGTTGTACTAGAATCTACAGCTTGGAGTCAAGCTTCTCTGCAGGCTCCACAGTGATGCTGCTGCTTTAGAACAAGCCAGCCTGGGATACGAGGACTCTTGGGTCTTTCCAGGTCTCATTGAGCCAGGCTCCTTCCCTCTCTATTCTCTGTTTCCTCGTCTAGGGAGGGTTGGAGTTGGTGGCTGACTCCACCCCGGGAAATAGAGATTGCAGTGGGGTGGGAGGAAGGGGGAGGGGAGGAGGGAAGACAGGGGTGAGAGAAGGACTTAGGATGAGGAACCCCAATACTGGGCCATAGAGGTCAGGGTCCCCCGCCCAGGGTTGCCACTTACCGGATGGTGATTTCGAAGATCTGATTGAGTTTGCTCTGGAGCAGCGATGCCTATACACAAACAGGGGGAAGTGAGGTGGGGGCACCCAGAACCTCTGCCAGCTGGCTCAGATGTCCTGAGTATGTGCTGGAGGTGCAGGGTGGCCACAGCCTTAGGAAGGCAGGCGGAGGTGGACACACTCCAGCACTCCTCCACTGGACCCTGACTACAGATTCAGGTCTGGGAAAGCCACCTACTGAAGGCTGGCTGGGGACAGGATAGAGGCTCAGAATCGCCAGGGGGGCCATCAGCCGGCAGTTCTTGAAGGTCCTTCTCCTTAAGATGGGGCAGCGGGGCTGCTGGGCATGGAGTTGGGAGACTATGCCAGTGCCAGCTCTTTTCTTTCTTAAAAAAGTTAATTTAGTTTAATTTTTTCATTGAGACAGAGTCTTGCTCTGTCACCCAGGCTGGAGTGCAGTGGCACAATCTCAGCTCACTGCAACCTCCACCTCCTGGGTTCAAGCAATTCTCCCAACTTAGCTTCCTGAGTAGCTGGAATTACAGGCACACACCACCACGCCTGGCTAATTTTTGGATTTTTAGTAGAGATGGGGTTTCGCTATGTTGGCCAAGCTGGTCTCGAAATCCTGACCTCAGGTGACCTGTCCACCTCAGCCTCCCAAAGTGCTAGAATTACAGGTGTGAGCC